GGCGGGGCCGGGGGTGGAGGCGGCGGCGCTGCACGCATGGGACGCACGGCATGTGGAAAATCAGTGCTAATGGCGTTGCATGGAGGGATGAGTGGAGCATCACCAGCAGCCGCCGCCGGTGCCCAGGTGCCATGCTGCTCGACGTTGGCACTCACTGGAGCAGTTGGACGCGAACCCTGTGTCCATCAGCGCCCTCGTGCGGAACCCTGCGAGTAGACAGCGAGAGAGGCAAGCTAGCTAGTCATGGTGACCAGATGGAGCAGGGGGGGTGGGGCAGGTGGAGGCGATGTGGGAGGCTGCTGGCGCCTGCTGTGGCTGCAGATGCCAACCTACCTGGTGGGGCATCGTCGGTGTCGAGCGCGAAATCGGCAACCCCCTTGCTACCTGGTATGCTGCAGAGGCATATCACTTAGGCGCTGCAATCAATGTGTGCGGCGCTCTTCCTGGTGCGTGCTATGAACATCTACGGCGGCGGCGGGTGGCGGGATGCAGGGCCGCATCGATGCAGCGCAGCCGGCGCACCCAACCCGAAAACCGAAGCCCTTCAGCGCCAGGCGGGGGCGATCTTGTTGTGCGGCCCTCACCTGCCCAGAAGCACAGAGAGCAATAGGGGCGCGATGACTCGCTTCGTCATGGCCCGGGGGGGAGGCCCGCCCCAAAGCGCTTTCACTATGCCCGTGCAAACGAGGTAGATGGATGCAGCGGCAGAGGATGTGTGACATGGATGAGAACAAATGAGATTTGTTCGCCCGTGCCCCGCCTGACGGCATGTGTCGCGCGCTGAGCCATGCTGTGCCTTGCTCCACCACACCCCGTCCAGTAGGATTGGTACCTGGCCTTCCCACTCTCACTGGCATTGCATACCACAATTTCACACCACATCTGAGGCCGCCCATTGCCCCACCGCCCACATGCCGAACCCCCCGAATGGCAGGAACGCATCAATCAAGCGCCGCCTGGAGCAGACCCATGGCATAACGGACACCGACGCGATGCTGGAGGCGCCGAAGCGGGAGAGGCACGCCGCCGCTGCCTGCGCTGCCCCACCGGCGCTGCCGGCCGCGCTTTTGCCCCGCCGCCCCTCACCTGAACCACACTGCACTTACCGACGAGGCTCATGCTTGACGTCTCTCTACAGGCAGCACCTCAAGAAGAAGACCAGGAGGGAGGCGGCGGGCAGCGGTGCGGTGGAGGAGCCCAGGCAAGCAAGCGCCTCGGGCCGTTGCCGGCTGGCACATTGTCAAGCAGGGCCAAGCCAGAGTGACGCAGGCAGCAGCGTGAACATGCTGGGCCTGTGCTGCCTCCCCGCAGGCGAAGCGGGCGGCCGCGGCGCCAGGTGGACTATGCAGAGCCCTCCTGGGCGCAGCTAGAGGCGGCGGCGGCGGCGGCGGCAGCACCCACAGCGGATGCAGCAGGAGCGGAGGCCTCGGTGCGCCCCGGCCCGGCTGCGCTGCACCCGCTGTTGAGAGGGTTTAAGCAGGGTGGCCGCACATGCACCTTCGGGGGCCTGCTGCGCCGCCTCTGCGCCCGTGCCCGACGCCTGCCGCTGCCGCCGGCGCCAGGCATGCTTGCCTGCCCATGCTTGCCCCGCCCATCCCGCTGCAGCAGGCGGAGCCGCTGCGCGCAGCCTACGCCCCGCCCGCAGCCTGCACATCGCCGGTCCACCCCACCTACGATGCGTCAGAGGGGCGGCGGGACCGGCAGGGGCGCCTGGCGTTTGCAGGCCACCCAGAATTCCGCCCCAACCTCACCCCCAAGCAAGTCATCCAGGCAGGCAGCTTTGGCGGGTGAGGCTGGCAGCGGGCGAGGCCGTGGGGCCGGGTCCTGGGCTGGACAGCGTGGGTGGCTGGCTGTGACTCAGAAAGGGCTGGCGGCACAGCGGAGGGCAGGAGGGCGGCAGCAGCGGGCGCTGGTTTGTTGGCGGGCAGGCAGGCAGGCAGGCGGCGTCGGCAGGGACTGATGTTTAGTGCAGGGATGGGCGGCTGGATGCGGGGTGCGGAGGGCATTGCAGAGCTGAAGAGGGGAGCAGGCTGCCTGGCCGTTCGCCGCCCCTTGAATTGCCCCGCAGCTGCCGCCCCGCCTGCCCTGCAGCATCTACTTCAACCCACGCGGCGGCAAGCCGGGCATCCTGGGGAAGGAGGTGGCGGTGGATCACAGCGAGTTCCCTGCAGACTGGTTTGAGGTGGGTGACAGTGTGGCATGGCATGGCGTGGTGTGGTGTGGCGCATGGCGCATGCCGCCGCATGCAGCAGCGCTTGAGGGTTGAAGGCGGCTGGCTGGCGCCCAGCGCTGCTGGTGTTGCAGGGCCTGCCCAGGAAGGCCTACCGTGGGCGGGTGTACACAGTAGGAACCAACAAGTATGGGGTGAGGCTGTCGCCGCCCGCCCATGCCTCCTCGCCGTGCCCTTGCCTGCCTGCATGTCCTCGCATGATGCCCCTTTGCCTGCCGCAGGCCCTGCCCCTGCCTGCCTGCCCAGGGTAACCGCTCGCCTGCGTGCCTCAGCAGGTGCCTGCCAGCGCCGCCCTGCCCAGCGCACCCCAGCCCTCACCCCGCCGGCCTGCCAACGCCCTGTGGCGCAGGTCAAGGCTGGGCAGGACCAGAAGTTTTGGGAGGAGAAGGGGTGGATCGACCCTCAGGATCCGCGGGGCTGGTTCCAGGCAGGTCCCAGCGGCGCGTTAGCTGCCCAGTGCTTGAGCAGGCGCGCACAGTTGCACAGCGTGCTGTGCTGGCCGCCTGCCGGCACGCCGGCGCCTGGTGTGCATGCTTGCTGTGCTTGCTGACGCCACCCCCGATGCTCTCTCTTTGTGTTTGCTTTGCAGTGGTACTGTCGATTCTACACGGGTGGGTGGGTTGATACTGCCGTCGGTATGGTGCCACCTAGTTGGTACTGCTGGCAGAGCTGGCGCATGCGAGGAAGCTGCCCTGCCGCTCGCTATGCCCTGCTGCCTCACGACCTTCCAGCCTGCCTGCCTGCCTGCCTGCCCGCCACCATGAACTCCGACTGAACCGCATCCCACCACACGCACACACACGCGCAGGCCGCCGCACCGCAGACGATGCCCGGCAGATCCGCCGGTGGCGGGGGGTGGTGGGGGACAAGGGGCGCTGGGTTAGGGCGCTTGTCAACAAGATCGTCAGGTGAACAGGCACACAGCACCAGGCTGGGCCCGGAAGGGCAGTTGCTGCCAGCAGAAGAGCTGTGCTCGAGCTGTGCTCCGCTGGCCGCAGCGGCTCGGCACCTGCTGCGGCCTGTGCCTGTGCCTGGCCTGCTGCTGGCTCTCTGCGTGGGGCGGCTTCGTCCTCTGTCCATGCCTGCTGCCGACGCGTGCGCTGCCTGCCACCGCAGGAGCAACAAGCGGTGGGATGACGCGAGTGTGTCACCCGTCATCCGCCAGACGCTGCTGCACTGGTGCGGTGGAGGAGTCCCATGCCCCTGGCCACCAATCCAGCCTCCCCTGCCGTTCTGTGTTGGCTATGCCGCCGACATTTCGTGCCATGCTCTGGCAAGTGGTAGCAGCCACCGCTTCCCACCTGGCTCTGGAGTGCGTCTGTTGTGCCGTGCCACTGATGGCTGCAGGGCGTTTGAGCTGACAGAGGCCGAGTTCCAGCGCATGCACAGGCAGCTGTAGAGCTAGTAGCTCGGTCGGCAGACGAAATGGCGGCAGCTCTGGTGTGGCGGTGCAATGCTCGCCAGCGAGGTGGCGGGTGGGGTGCCGTACAAGGTTGCCATACAAGGTCTCTGCCTGCAGGCTTGCGTTTGTTCTTGTAACGTGGTTCTTGTAACCTTTTGAGCTTTGAAACCATGACAGACGTGAGGACGAGCATGGCGGGTCTGCTGCACACATTGGCGCTCTGCTTGGTGTGGGCGGCCCTGCCGCTGGCTGAAGCCAAGCTGGGCACGGCAGCAGGCAGTCGCAGCGCTGGGCGCAGGCTTCTGGGCGAGCAGGGTGAGCGGTTGGTGCGGCGCAGGCACCATGGCCGGCCCCTGCTGCACACGCTGAGGCGGCCGTGCCTTGAGATCAATCCGCCCCGCCCCGCGCGCCGCCACCGCGCCACGTGCGCTTTGCAGCGCCGCCCGCGGCCTGCAACGCCCAGGCCAGCCTCAACCTCGGCGGCAGGCTGCTGCAGCAGGTGCAGGCCAGGGATTCGGGGGAGTGCTGCAAGGCATGCCAGGCGAGCGGAAGACTTCCAAACCGCATGCTCCGCCGCAGGGCGGCCCCCCCCTCAGAGCTGGGAGTGATCACTTGCCCTGGTCCTGGCGGAGGCATAGATGCTGATCCTTCAATTGGAAAGCGTAGGACCCGGCGGCACGCAACTGCACGGTGTGGGTGCACTGCGGCGCGCCCGGCGGCTGCGCCAACAACCAGGGGCGCCCCGTCTCCGCGGGCAGCTGCGCGCTCAAGGTGCAGCTGCCGCAGCCGCTGTCGGAGCACCACGCCCAGCTGGGCATGCCAAGAGAGGTGGGATCGCGCTGCCTGCCCCTGCACCTGCTGCCTGTGCACGTGCCCCGCAGGCCGTACCCCCCAGCGCCGGCCTGCCGCTGGCAGCTGTCCCTCCCTGTCGCCGCCCACGGTGCCAGGCTGGCATGCAGGGCTGTGCCGGGTGGCCAATAATTGGTGGCTGCCGCCACCCCGCTGCTGCTGCACAGGTGGACCGCTGCTGCCAACCTGAGCGGGCCAGGCACGGCCGCCGCTGGCACCTTCCAGATGCACGCTGCGCTGTGGGGTTACGATAAGGGGTCCGAGGGCCCTTACGTGGGCGGCCGCTTTGCCTCCTTTGTGCTGAGCCTCAACGGGGTCTTAGACATGGTATCTGCACAGATCCGGCAGGTATGCACCTTGGCTGTGTGAATGCCGTTGGGCATGCCGCTGCGCATGCGCGCAGCAGCGTTTGGTTTGAAGGAGGCTGCAGCCTGATGTTGCCGCTCGTATGCCTGCCTATGGCTGGGTGGAGGCATCGCCGGTGGTGCCCCTCCTCGCCGCTCTCTGCAGGGCAACGCAACAACCTCCCAGCTGGGACCGCTGCTGGCCTTGCTGGTTCCGGGCGGCTCTGCGGCAGCCGCAGCTGCTGCCGGGAAGGAGCCGCAGCTGTCGCCGCCGGTGAACGCCACAGGCACGCGGGAGGGCAGGGAGTGGAACGGGCACCGCTGTCGCCGCCGCCGCCATTGACAGCACCGGGAGGAGGCTCGAGCCAGCCCAGCCCGCGTCATAATCATACACCGCAACCCCTTCACCACCAACGAATGTGCTGCAGACGCCTCCTTCATCGGAGTCCTTCGGTTTGCGTCGGTTTGCGGAATTTGCGGGGCCTGCGGCCTTGCATCCGCCGGGCAGCGAGAGCCCGGGGGATGGCGGGTTTGAGGTGGGCCGACCATACATCAGGCCGCTGACACTGGCACCGGCTGGCTGCCTGCATTTCCGGGATGTGTGGGGCACGCCGTGCCAATGAGTGCGGGTGTCGTGACGCCCCTCCAAGCAGCACATGAGCCACGAGCAGGAGGCAGGCATCTATGCTGCCGGCCTGCACCCCCGCCTGCCTGTGCACAGCCTGATGGCCTGGGGCAACGCCTTTGTCGCGGTCAACACAGCGCGGGCGCCGGGTGGGGAGATCTGCAGATCCAGCTGGGGCCAGATTCGAGCCTCCTGAGCAGGAGTGCGCAAATGGGCAGCCCGAGCTTGAGCTCTGTACAGCAAACTCTCCTCCCTCCCCTTCACATATTCCTGTCCTTGACTGACTGGAAGATACTTACAGCGAGTGGGGAAAGTAAACGTGAGGGGCAGCGAGCGAGGGAAGTCAGCAGTAGAGAGCATGAGCGAATGGGGGAGAGGTCAGCAGGAAGAAGGGAGAGGTCAGCGGGTAGAAGGGAGGAGCGGGAGAGCACAGCAGCATAAGAGGTGAACTGAGGACTGCCCATTCGCAGGCAGCAGGTAACAGCGCAGCAGCACAGCGCTGAGTCTGGGCACAACTGAAGAGGGCGCAGCGGGCCCCGTAAATGAAATGCACGGCAGCGGCGGACCGCTCAGGCGGCACACCAGTTGCCGAGCTGGCGGCTGGAGCAGGAGGTGGGCCAGGGCAGCAGCAGGCCGCGGCAAGGCAGCAGGCAGGCGCGGCCGAGCGCCCAGCAGCCTCAGAAGCCTCCCAGCAGGTCGAGCAGCGGGTCGCCGCCGCCCGGCGCCGCCGACAGCCGCCCCAGCTTGGCGGGCGCCTGCTTGCGCGGGGCGGGCTGCTGCGCGCGCCGCCTCGCAGGCTGCTGCTCCTCGGCGGCCTGCAGCAAGCAGTGGGGTGTCCCAAGCCCAGCGGCAGGGCCACCCGTCAGCTACGGCACTCGAGCAGCCGCAAGGCTTCCACCTCTGCAGCGGCTCCACAGGGCAAGCCTGCAGCCTGCATGGCCAGCCAGCAGTCTTCCTAACGCGCCCCCAGCAGCCCCGCCCCAAGCGCCGCCGCCCCGCCACGGCGCCCCCCGCGCGAGCGGCCCCCGCTCACCGCTCGCGCGCTTGCGCCGGGCCCGCCGCCCTCCACCTCCTCCTCCTCCTCCTCCTCCTCCTCCTCGCTTGCCTCCTCCCCGCCGCTGCCCTCCTCCCGCGCCGCCCCGACCGCCTCCTCCGCCTCCTCCTCAAACCCCTCGCCGCTCAGCACCGCCAGGATATCATCCTCGGCCGCCGCCGCCGCCGCCTTGCTGACCAGGTCCGCGGCATAGCCCAGCGACTGCCCCAGCCGGTCGTCGTCTGCAGGCAGGGGGAGGCACGCGCAGCGGCAGGAGCGGCGGCGGCA